GTTGGAATCTATTTTCTTGTACTGACTAGCCAATTCTAAGAACAAATTAATTAGGTTTGAGCCATTAATTTGATTCTGTACTGTGAAAATTGTGTTGTGTCAGAACTTGTATGTTCTTCATCCTTTAGTTATCTGATCGTTTCAAGCGAAATGTGTGACTAGTTAGTGAGTTATTTATTGTAACTGCATTTGAAAACGACAATTACTCCTTTACATGATATGTTTATTCTTTTACCAAGGAGGCGCTTATTGAAGATGTCTGTTTTGTAGGATGTGGACATTGGTTCCCATTTTAAAGGCTACAACACGACTACAAGACAATCTCTTGAAGCATGGTCTGGTTCGCTGCTTGATTTGGGTCTTGTACGTACTTTACATGTTCACAGATGAAAGGAGTTTTGTTCAGGCAGATCATTTTGATTTATAGCTCCTTATTGACCGTGGGGTCTTATCGAAGACACATTTATTGCATTGGTTGCACAGGTTTTCGTGTTTCCTAACTTTGAATTTTTTTATTCCTTTCATCTTTGAGTAGGTGGAAGCAACGATTGAGTATATTTGTCGTCGTGAAGGTGAAGGTGCAATTCTTGTATTCCTGACTGGTTGGGATGACATTTCTAAGCTGCTTGATAAAATTAAGGCTAACAACTTCCTTGGAGACACCAGGAAGTTTTTGATCCTCCCTCTTCATGGTTCAATGCCAACAATAAATCAACGAGAAATATTTGATCGCCCATCTGCTAGCATGAGGTGCGTTCTTTGTTGAGCAAAGGTGGATGTCCAAGAATTCGCATACTTTAATCTTTTAGCTAAAACTACCTTTTAGCAATAGTACCATTACTCAAGCATTCGATATTTCAGGTGTAGCATTACTTTTTCTTTTATTTCTTGTAATCTGATGGTGGACTTCCAAAGGGTCGGCTATATGAATCCTCACTGACCACGTTCCCTAATTAAATTCATCTCAAGCTAATATTAATTAAATGAATTTAAATGAAGAATACTAGAAATTCTCTATATATTCTATTGGCATAAGAATCTCTAATAGAGCTAAAAGACTCCTATAAAACATAGGAACTAAAGTATACGTATTAACATCACTAAAATATAATTTTTTTTTAAAAAAAACATCACTAAAATTTGTTCCCAACTAATTGGTATATCCTATTATAAATCTTTTTCTTCCATTGTGCCAAATCTTTCGTTAAGTCTTTATTGATTCCAAGAGATTATAGGCATTTCGAGACAACTATCATGCGGTTTCATATCTACATTTCTTTTTAACACCTTCGCTTATCATGGTTTTGCACCTATTGCCCGGTTCATCTGGAGGTCAACATAGGACATGACCAAGCCATCTCAATCGACCTCTCATTTTATCTTCAATTGTGCTACATGTACCTTCTGACGGTTGTGGTCATTTTTAATCTTTTTCTAACCTATATGACCGCACATCTATCTTAGCATCTATATCTCTGGGAATTTCATCTTGTGGATATGTTGACTTTAGCAGCTCAACATTCATTCTCATATAACATTGCTGGTCATATAAGTTTATAAATTGTTTTATAGAACTTATCTTTCACTTTGTAGGCATCCTCCTATCACACCCTGGTAGCGCTTCTCCATTTCAATCATCCCCATTTGATTCTCTGTGTAATATCTTCAGCTATTATTCCATTCTCCCGGAATACGAGCATATATTCACTCTTACTTCTACTTATCGAAAACCCTCACACTCTAGAGTGCTCCTCCATAGTTTAAGCTTTTGGTTCACACCCTTGCAGTCAATGAGCACAATGTCATCAACAAATACCATACACCGTGGGACCTCAAGTAATTCCACCATGCCGGTCCCAAGTTCGGATAAAGGCGGGTTGCGGTAGGCTGGCGGCCAATGTAAATTAGCCAATTTATGATGAATCAGTCAGAGTATTTTTTTTTGCAAATGAACATCTTTGGTCTGATCATGCAGGAAAATTGTGCTTGCAACCAACATAGCTGAGAGCAGTATAACTATAGATGATGTCGTGTACGTCATAGACTGTGGAAAGGCGAAAGAGACTAGTTATGATGCTCTTAACAAGCTAGCTTGTTTATTACCATCATGGATTTCAAAGGCCTCGGCACATCAGGTAATTAAAAGTGCAGAATGAATTTAGATTGATATATTTGGAGCACATTGCCATCCCAATTCTTTCAATTTCATTTGGCTTAATTTTCTGCCTTACTGGAGAATTTTTATTTTCTGCAGAGACGTGGTCGTGCAGGCCGTGTGCAACCTGGAGTTTGTTATAGGTTGTATCCGAAACTAATACATGATGCAATGCCTCAATATCAACTACCTGAGATTCTTCGAACACCATTACAGGAGCTTTGTCTCCAAATTAAGAGCTTGCAGGTTGGCGCTATTGAATCCTTTCTGGCCAAGGCACTTCAACCTCCAGATCCTCTCTCTGTCCACAATGCCATTGAACTTCTCAAAACTATTGGAGCGCTGGATGATACAGAAGAGCTTACTCCTCTTGGTTTGTATACTGCTGTATACTGCATCTATCTTTCTCTGTATTTTCCAGATGGGAGCGTTTACTTTGAATGTTGCTTTACAGGTCGCCATCTTTGCACTCTACCTCTGGACCCAAATATTGGAAAGATGCTTCTGATGGGGTCCATCTTCCAATGTCTAAACCCTGCACTGACTATTGCTGCTGCTCTTGCACACCGTGATCCTTTTGTCCTTCCAATAAACAGGAAAGAGGAAGCAGATGCTGCCAAAAGATCATTTGCTGGTGATTCTTGCAGGTTAAACCCGAAAAAATGGTTTATATGACTCTGGCTTCCAAGAATGGCATCATTTTGTGAAATGAAATATTTCTTTATTCATGTGAAACACTATTCTCTTTGATGCAGTGACCATATTGCACTTCTTAAAGCATTTGAAGGATGGAAAGATGCTAAACATTATAGAAAAGAAAGAGCATTCTGTTGGGAAAACTTTTTGTCTCCTGTAACGTTGCAGATGTTGGAAGACATGAGAAATCAGTTTGTAGACCTACTGTCAGATATCGGTTTTGTGGATAAATCACGAGGAGCTAAGGTGATGTCTCCAAATTTCTTCTTGAAGATCTCTCTGCTCTAATGCTGTTTCAGTCTGGTTTAACCATGTCTTGTCATAAATGTTTATTATTCGTAGGGGGTACTATTCATATGGGTGGCCCTTGGGAGGGAGAGTGGGAACACAAATACAGAAAGCATATATATCATGATGTGGAAGAAGCAAATAAGATTTAGCTCCTGATTTAAGTCCATATAGCAGTACTGCACCCATTCATTAGCAAGATTGAAAGATAGTGATCTGATTTTGCAGGCATACAATGAGTATAGCAATGATTTAGAGATGGTATGCGCTATCCTTTGTGCGGGTCTCTACCCAAATGTTGTGCAGTGTAAAAGAAGAGGAAAGCGTACTGCATTTTACACGAAAGAAGTTGGAAAAGTTGATATTCACCCTGCATCTGTTAATGCTGGTGTTCATCTTTTCCCTCTTCCATACTTGGTTTACAGTGAGAAAGTCAAGACTACAAGCATTTATATCAGAGATTCAACAAATATGTCAGATTATGCTCTCCTTATGTTTGGGGGTAATCTCAGTCCAAGCAAAAGTGGAGAGGGCATTGAAATGCTAGGAGGCTATCTTCACTTTTCTGCATCAAAAAGTGTGTTGGATTTGATAAAGGTGTGACACCTGGTTGGTGCAACATTTTCATCTTTGCGGTGTACATTTTTTATTATTTCAAAAATAAACTTATTTCCTCGTGCAATCAAATTTTGCAGAAACTGCGAGGGGAACTGGATAAAATCTTAAAAAGGAAAATCGAAGAGCCCGGCTTTGACATTTCGGTCGAGGGAAAGGGTGTAGTTGGTGCTGTGGTTGAGTTACTTCATAGTCAAGACATACGATACTAATAGGGACATTACCCGTTTATTTATCGTATAACTAGTAGTGACCAACCATATATAGATGATTATGGCTTTGATTGCAAAAAGATACTCTGACAAAAGGTTTGAGGCCCATTTTGTTGTAGAAGTGTTAGCATAGAAAGATAGAGAATTTATTTCAATGAGTTCACACTTTAATTCGCCATAAGTCCAAGTTCTAGCTGTGAAATATCACCCCTAGCTCTCACAGTAGCAAAAATGATGTAGCTGTTACATTCGAAGGAAGGGTGCAATTGTGTATTTCTTGTGCAACAATAGCGGTAATGTATTAAGAGTTATTTCTTGGTAGATGAGTCGAAGAGTAGATGACTTTTTGCTGAGACAATATACTCACATTCTCCCGCATAGTTATTTTGTCACTTTAATATCGAAAGCCTGGTTTCAGAATTCTATTGCTAGGTATATCGTGGCTTTCTGGTTACCGTTTTGCACTCTACTCGTTTGGCTTCTTTCACTCCTTAATACATGGAATACTATATTAAAGGTGCCTTTCTAACCTTCATATTTTCATGGCATCTTTTACTTCTGCAGGTCTAATTCGACAACAGAAGTTTGTGCCTTTCTAACAGAAGTTTGTGCACTGTAGAGTATCTATAAAATAATTCGTGTGGTTGGAGCAATTGATCAAAACAGGCCATCATTCTCTCTTTGATCTGACTATCTCTTACCAAAACTTGTTAGGGAAGTTCTTTAGTACACTTTAACCTCAAGCAAGTATTTACCCATCTTGTCTCTTAGTCATGTTTGTTTGTACATTTCTTTCTTCCCTTTCTGCGTAACTATCAGTATAGGGCATCTGAGGCTTAATTACCTTGGATTTTACTATTAGCTTTCTCGTCTCCCTCCGAAGGGTTCTCCATATCTTCAGCTTTTGGTAGCTTCGTTCTGTGTAGCTATTCTTTTGCTTCACTAGCTTATTGCATCTTCATATTCTACCACCATGATTTTCGCGGTCGAGGTCCTAGGCCTTTAGACACACTTAGGAAACTGTTTGCTACATTTTTAGTGCAGGTTGTCATTTCCATTCGATAGCTTGTCCGGAAATGTTATTTGGCTTGCTCCAGTTAATGTACATAATCGGATTCCATTGCATGTGACTCTTCTCCTTTTTTGCTCAGTTCTTTAACTTCACCTGGACTATTAGTCTATGTTTGAGTAGTTAGAGCTTCCCCTTGTATAACCTTGCAATCCTAACGTGTGGTCTTGTCACATCTTTAGGTACACTGAAGTTTAATTGGTTATAGTTACCTCCATTCTCAGAAGCTATCAAGAAATCCCTTTCCTCTTTTCAGTAATTACTAAACAATAACTATATCTACCCATATGTCTGAGACATCAATGTGATGAAACCTTTTGTTTATTTTTCGTCACGCCGAAGTATCAATGGAGGATTTGCAGCCGTACCCTATATTTGTGTCACCTTTTAACCTGTACCCTATTTTTTAAAATTATTGATTTGGTAGCCATCTCACAAAACATCCGTAATAATATGACAATTACACCCTTGACAAAAGATATAAAACGATCTCCTCCTCTCCTCTCAGCAACTTTATAAGAAAATTAGAAACTTGTCCAGATTCATCTTCAGAATCACACTTGCATGAAGTTGTTTCACCTTAAAGCTAAAATTTCATGCTAATGTAGCATGAAGTTATTTCATGTTGAAGCTAAAACTTCATGCTAATATAGCATGAAATTGTTTCACATTGAAGCTAAAACTTCATGGTAATGCATGCTGAAGTTATTTATCCTGCAATCTACAGTTTTGTCATGAATTTTATTCGAAACTTTAGTCTAAACATGCTGAAGTTATTTAGTTCATTTGCTAAAATTTCAGACTAAACATGCTGAAGTTATGTAGTTCATTTGCTAAAATTTCAGACTAAACATGCTTAAGTTATTTAGTTCATTTGCTAAAATTTCATACTAAACATACTTAAGTTATTTAGTTCATTTGCTAAAATTTCAGACTAAACTTGCTTAGGTTTTTTAGTTCATTTGCTAAAACTTCAGACTAAATATGCTTAAGTTTTTGTCTTGTAGTATGTAATTTTCTAATGAGTTTTTGCTAATGCATGCTGAAGTTATATAGTTCATTTGCTAAAACTTCCGACAAAACATGCTGAAGTTTTTTAGTTCATTTGCTAAAACTTCAGACTAAACATGCTTAAGTTTGTCTTGCAGTATGTAATTTTCTAAAGAGTTTTTGCTAATTTATGCTGAAGTTATTTAGTTCATTTGCTAAAACTTCATACCAAAACATACTGAACTTTTGTAACGCAGTCTACAGTTTTGTCCCGAGTTTTATCCGAAACTTCAGTCGAAACAAGCTGAAGTTTTTTAATTTATTTGCTAAAACTTCAGCCTAAACATGCTAAAATTTTTGTCCTGCAGTTTGTCAATAGTCTTTTATTAAAGAAGGGCAAAATCATCTTTTTAAAACGCTTTTAACAAAAAAATGAGTACGGATGCAAATGAAAAAATGAAACGGGTATAAGTTAAAAAGGGGCGACCAAATAGGGCGCACCATGCAATTTTTACAGTATCAATGTAAGACGTGTCTAGGAAAACTAGCGGAAGTAAAGCCCGTGCTGTCGCACGGGCCCAACATTGTAATTAAAACTGTTATGAAAGAAGAATATTCTAATATTATAGTAATATTTTAATTGGTATTTTCATAGAATATCCCTGTAAATAATTTTAATTTTTAATCAATATTCTCAAGTATTAAGGAAAATTTTCAAAATATTTAACTACTTAGCTCTTAAATATCTACTACTTGAATATCCTTAACGAGTCAACTTTCTCGAGATTGAACACTATATACCATCCAATTCAATAATTTTAACTAAACTTTTAGAAATAGTTATTATATTTAAATTTCGCGTATGATATTAAAAAAAAATTATAAATAATAAGTGAGTGTAAGAAATATTTTTCGACGAAATATTAACACAAGTTTTCATCATTTCTTATTTTCGCGGGATAGTCAAATCAGTTTCAAACGGTAGTAATGCAAATAGACATATCACTTGCAACTCAAGAAGTAACTAAATTAAAATGGTGTAAATTATCGGTTTTTTCCATAATATATATACTAGTGATTTGGTCCATTATTTAGGGTAAATAACAAATATAAATTAAGTTAATAACTAAATTAGTAATTAGCTTAAATGTTAGTATTTAAAAATAAATAAACTCATGACAATATAAGGGTTAATAGGTTAAAAATAATATCGTAAAAGTTAAATTAGAAACAAATTTTAAAGTTGCAAAATTAATGTAAAATTTTACAATAAATTTTATTTACATAATATTACTTTATTAGAAAAAAAAGGTATGTACATTCCTTCGTACCGAAAGAGTTGGCGCCTAAATAATTGTACTACTATTTGAAAGCATTACAAACTACTTAAATTGTAAAATGTTATAGTATTGTATTTACCTTCTTAAACCTAGCATATATTTATTTGTAAAAATTATTCTTTATTTAATGAATTTATTCTACTATATTCTTTTATTTAGTGAATTTATTCTGCTACGTTTTAACTTGTCAATTTTATTTATTCAAGCTTAACTATTGATTTAACATATTTGCTATTCAAACTCAGCAATTAGTTATCTATTAGGTCCTAATTGCATAAAACTTATATATTTAATTGAATTCAAATTCAATTTCCTTTTCAATTTCTGTGCTTGAAATAAATGAGCTGCCAAATATACTTGATTTAGAAAATCTTAGATTTGGTTGAAGTATTTGTATTATGTGCTTATAAACAGATGCAACTTTCAAGGAATAGTGGTCTGACAATTTGTACTTTGCATATGTGGAGAAGTCTTGGGTAAATATGTGTTCAAATGGGTCCCACGTTTAGATACTATGCATCTGTCGAAAATTCCCCAAAATTTCCTTTGTTCACTAAATTGTGGGTCCCACGTTTTTGTACTATGCATTTGTGGAGAAAAAGTAGGCTTTGAAAATGCCTCAAAAGTTCCCTTTATTTACTAAACTGTGTGATGATAGTTAATGTAATAATATCAAACAACAAGGGTAAATATATAATGATGGAAGCTGGCATCTAGACGAAGACGTCTCTGCTTCACCTGTTTCTAGTGTGCTTCTTATATAGGATATGTCCAAACCTATTCAATAACGTAAGATTCATTATATATTGACTAGTTTTTTGGTGATTGTTAATTTACCACAACTCTCATTCTTTACTTCGATTGGGATTCGCAATGCAAACGAACTCGCACAAGCAAAGCTGTTTCTATTGTTTAACTTGATTTCTTAATTTTGGAAGCTAGGGCATTGGTGGGGTCGTTTTCTTTTTCCTCTTTTTACTAATCCCCATTTCCCAAATGATGTTTTGGTAGCTTGGACTACAAAGAGTAACTTACTCATGAGACTGATGTATTGGTTTAGTAAATTTACTTTCCTTTCATATCCATAAGGACTTCTCCATGCCACAATTTTATTTTTTTCCCCTTCTTATGGGATAGAATGAGAGGCAGGAGGGGTAATTTCAAGAGTTGCACCATCCCAACTCGCATGAGACATATCATTCTAAATGAAAGGTGCATTCAGGATTTGGAGGTTTTCGATGCCATACTGCTTTGGCCTTCAGTTTGATTTATTTTGGGCTTCAATTTGGGTTATTTCTCTTTTTGATGTATATAAACAAACTGATCAAACTAAAAAATTAATATTATGACATCTTGGAGCAAAGCATAAAACTTTAATAATATTATTAACCTTATAAAAATACATCATTCATTTACAATTGTCGATATTTTTCATATACTTGAGTTATCGTCTAATTTAAGGATGGACAGCTAGAACTACAACTTGGTTAAGAATATTTCAACTTCTTGATGAGTATATCCATCTCAATTTCACAAGAATTAGGAATATTAAGTCAAATCCAACTTGCTGGAGATTGAAGTTTTAATGATTAATAATCATGCAGCTTAAAAACAGGCTGAAAGACTTGGTCTTACTGGTTGGTTTTCGTAGAGTGCTGACACTTAATCTTAGAGAGAGTAGGATTCACTTTTGCACGAGATATTATTTTATTTCATGTTTTATGACCTAGCTGCCGCTCAAATAATAGAGAATCTTGGTAAATCTTTATTGTTAACTTAGAGATCAAGTTTGTAAGGAAATAGATTTATTATTTGAGTTTATTTTAAGGAAGGAATTATATTTTTCTTATACTTCTTTTATTCTATAGGGTTTTGTCAGGACCCAAAATTCCACCAAGTCTTGATAACACCTAATCCAATCTGCTAGGTAAGCCAACCAACATTAACACACTCTGAGCAGATAATCATCAATAAATAATAAATAAGATTGCGGAAATTAATACAACTATCCCAATGACTGGTAG